GGCCTCATGAAGATCAACGAATATCACACAACCAAGTCACAGCTACTATAACGACGTGGCCAGCATCAACTACCACTACGTACTAACAAATGATCAACATTAGTCGAAACAAAAAAGGCTGGTAGTAGAAAGTGGGTGTGGTCAGTTCCCCTGCAACACCAAGAAAGGCCAACGCTTGTCTAATCTTGGCTTTTCTTGGCGTGTCCCCTAATTTATTTTTTTGCTCAAGGTACCTACGCAGCTACGGAACAATGAAGACGATGAGAATGTCTTTGTTAAGAAGAAAAGTCGGTCTCTGGAATGTCCACGTGCTGCTTGACTCGAGATGCTCTTTTTGACCTATTAGGACATTTCCAACCCCCTCAATTATTAATGTCACATTTAGATAGTGGAGATGAGCATATCACTATTTCACCCTCAACGATGCAGAAAGCCGTCAGTCAGCCATTTAGTTACAATTGTTGAGATAGTCACCGACCGCTCAGGTACAGTTCTCTGTTAACTCAAAAAGACATTAGTTTGAGCCCTGGCTGATTCTAAGTATTCGCCGTTCAATCGTGTCTTACTGGGTCTGTATGGCCTCAATTCAGCCACGACTATAGTAAACAACTCAACTCATCAATACGGAGTCCTCAGCAAAGTCAATGTCCCATATTGAATGTTTCGATCTTTTTTTAATCATGAGATTTCACGTTTTCCGTCAACACATTCATGAAAAAGGCGGGAATTCCGTGAGAAGTCTTCTCTATATCACATTATTTTGAGACATGTTATGCCTGAAGCGGAACTAGCTATAAGTAAAACTAACCGTCAAACTCGACTCGCAAGTCCAAGCTTTTCTGCTTTTATAGTCTTCAAAGCTCCAGATGACATGGCCCTCTATCTCCAAATATTCATGCTTTTCCATTCAAACGTTTCCAGATTATAGTGATACATATCCTTAGTCATCGAAACCACCCCATTCACCATCATCACCACTGTCCTCATTCGCCTGCAATTTCCTCTTCTTGCTACCCTCAATAGCACCGCGGCGGTTGTTCTCCTTTCGTCTTTCATACCCACTCTTGGACGTAATTTTGGCCTTATTTCCACTCCGGCGCGCTTCCACACCTCGCTCCTTGAGCTTTTTGCGGTCTGCCTTGCCGACATTAGGGAGAGCATCTAGGAGCCACTTTTGTACCCCAGCCTCATCTCCTGTTTTGCCAGCCTGCTTCTCGCTTGCAGCAATAACGTTGGCGACCATCTTGACAAAGGGAATGTCCTCCTTGGTGTAGAATGTGACCGCCACGCCACCTTCGCGACCTGCTCGGCCTGTTCGTCCTGCGCGGTGGACGTAGCCCGCGCTGGAGCCGGGGACGTCGTAGTTGACAACACCGTTGACTCCGGCAAAGTCTACACCGCGTGCCAACACGTCTGTTGTGATAAGAACCCAGATGTCTCCAGCACGGAACTTGCGCATGATGGAAGATCGAGCAGAGTCTGTGAGGCCACTGTGAAGGGCAGCAATTCTTGCTGCACCACCAGCCTCAAGGGGGATATCGTATTGCAGTTCCTCGTGCAGAGCAGTCGCTCGGTCAATTGTTTGTGTAAAGACCAAGAAAGGGGGTCGCAGAGGAGGGCCCGAATCATCAGCAGCTGTAGGGTGCAACAGCTGGCGCAATGCCAGTAGTTTACCTTGCTCGGTTGCAGTGTAGATAAGTTTATGGGCAATGTTTGGAACAGCAGTATCCTTGAGACCGACGACGAGCCTCACAAAGGGCTTCGGTGTGATACCCAGCGACTGTGCTCTTGAAGTCAACTTCTCTGCAACCATAGACTCAATGTTTGAGCCCATCGTAGCAGACCAAAATGACACCCTCAAGTCGGGGTTTGTACATGCCGTCCAGTCAGACATCATGGCATCTCGGAAAAGAGGATCAAGCAGAACATCCGCCTCATCCAATATCAAGTCTCTCACAGTAGGCAGAACCTTCTGTGTGCTTGGAGGTCCCGAAGTAAGAAACTTTAGTAGGAGGAAGGGCGTGGTGACCAGAATATCAGCCTTTGTGATTTGCTTGGGCTTATCGTCTGCCTTGTTCTCATCTCCATCCTCAGAATCTGGCTCCTCATCCTCCTCATCCTCAGAGCCGTCTTCCGCCATATCCACTTGCTCGGCTGAAAGTTGTGTATGCTTCTTCATTGAAACGACCTTGAGTCGAGTTCCTTGAGCAAGCTTCTGCCCATCGCTAACAATCTGATGCACCAATTCGCGAGTTGGTGCAACAATAATCGCCTCGAGTTCGTGGATATCGCCGAGCCTTTGCTGCGACCGCCTGCACAAGATGTTGTTTATAGCGGGAACCAAGAAACTAATAGTCTTCCCGCTTCCCGTGGGGGCGATTGCAAGGAAATCGACTCCTGCTTCTAGTCCATCTTCGTCTTTTAGGGCAGCCTGGGGGTTAACGAGAAGAGGAAGACTGCCCATCTGAACTTCAGTAGGAACTCGGTATCCCTGAAAAACAAGGTTATCGGCGACGTTATTTGAGAGACCGTAGGCATTACGCAGCTCGCCAAAAGAGTCCAAAGGTTGCGGGAAGAGCTGCTTCTTTCCATCTTTCTTCACTTCAACAGCAGCCTTCTTCTTTTTCTTGCTCTTCTTGACCTTGGACTGATCCTCCGTCTTGGACAGGAGAGTAATCTTCAATCGATGCGATCGTAGCAGTTGGCGACACTCGTCCTCACTCAACAGTCGAGACGGTCGTGTAGGTTTCGGTACCTGAACAGGCTCCGCCGTATCAACAGCTGCCTTGGCTACAGGCTCTGGCTTGGGGGCAAAGAAGTCGACTTCGGGGAGCTCATCGTGAGCTTCGGGTTCAGGCTCATTCTTTGTTCGCTTTCGCTTCTGGCCGCGGACCTGATCATGGTAGAGCTGAGGGTTTGTGGATGTACCAGCCGAGGGCAGCTTCTGCAAAGAATTGCTAGAGTTTTGGCTATTCTTTTGTGTCTTTTTGGTTCCACGGGATAGAACTTTGAGGATATCCATTATGAAGGAAGGGTATGCGCTATAACGCGTGGTTGAGCTGGAGATCCTTTGTGAAGAAAAGTGCTAGCAACTGAGAATTGTATTCAGAAATTTTGGTGGACCCATGTCGGCTTGACGGAAATTATTGCGGATAGTGGGGGGTGGGTGAACGGTATGTGGCTGGTGTGTGAAAAGAGCCACGCTTGGAGCACCGCCACAGCCGTTGAGATCTGCTAAGGTTACAGGCACCATCCGTTAGTGTTAGTGGGCGCTATGGATGGTTCAGTAAATCCCCGACCCAAGATCGATGGGAAATTGTTTAGCAACTGCATGCTTTTTGAGCATCAGGAACGCTCCATGGGTGATCCATTATGGGGGATATCTCATCCAATGAAACTCTTAGTCTATACAGCAAGACATGTTCGATTAGTGTCGATCTCCGTCATAATCTTATCCAACTTTTTGCTGCGGGCATGAGCATAATGCTTCCCAAGGTTGACGTCACTCTGGCTGCCAGGATAGCCAGCAATCAGGATTTAGAACTCGAAAGCATGGAAAATACATGAAACTTGGTATTTCTGCTTCTGTTTTTCTGTATTTTATGTCTTGCATTCCCCATTCCAATCTGCCTTGCATTGTCACTCTTGCATCTAAAAGCAGATCAGATCTTCAAACTAGTACATATCTCTTCTATCAACACAGACAGCCGCCATCATGCCGACTATGCTTGGTCTCACCAACGATCGCTCGCCTCACGGGCTTAACGCAGAAGAAAGTAAATTTGGTGGCCCCTCCAGCCAAAGAGGCATGGAACTTACCCCGCGCCAACAAAATGGTAGCATTGTATCCGGCATCGAAGGCTCCGACTTCTTCAACGGTGGTGGCAAGCAAAAGGAACACGACGCAGATGAGGAATCAGATGAGGAGAACCTCAAAACCATCAAGGGTCGTAACCTCTCCGCCGTCAAGGAGATGGAGACCCTTCTCTGGCGTGCCCTCTGCGATAAGCCCAAGACTGCCCTCAAATACATCGCCAAGGACGCTGTCATGTCGAACCGCTTCCTCTTCGGCGACCCTGTCCCCCGAACCGCTGACTCTGATCCTTCTCTAGAGGAAGAGATCAAGCACTGTGAGGAGTGGCTCGCCTACAAGATGCACGACCCCCAGCCCGTCGAGATTGGTCTCATGGCGGCTGCCATTGGCTACAAGCTCATCCTCTTCCGCCAACTTGACCAAGGAGATGGCAACTTTGGCATGCAGACCATTCAAGCTACATGTTCGAGCTCCTGGAGGCAACTTGCTAGTGGCGACTGGGAGCTCACTAGTATGTTTGCTGGTTAAACGGTTTGATGATATGGATGATTGCATGATATGGATAGGCGTTAAATGCTGAATGGAGTATTGTTTGGTGATTCGTGCCTAAAGGAGCTACATCATAAATTTGAACAACAGGCTGCATGTACATCAAATATCTATGTGAAATCTTTTGTTATTCATTCAGTTAAATCTGTACGTGGTGAATAATAAGGCATTTATCATGTGACAAACAACGCTTTATTATCCGCTACCTTACCCATGTGAGCCTCTTGATACATTCATGTCAAAACAATCAATACCCACGATTGAACTAAGACGCTGGTAGCTGCCTCCGAACTCAAGCTCTCCAGAGTCCAGGATTGCCCGAAGATCACATATCGATCTAAGAAGTCCAACGTCTTGAGCCAAGACTTTCGATGACAATCTCGAAAGTTGGATCTCCCTTCTTGTTTGGTGGAGTTTTGTCTTTTAAAGTGTCAATAAGACGTTTTAACCTCTGCTGTAACACACGAAACCTCTCTTCAGTACGAGCTTTCCGTCGATATACCAGATCTTCTTCCCCAACAGTACACTCGAGGGAGATAGTTACGCCGCTATTTTTTTCGAAATGTAACTCTTCTATAATTTCTGCAAGTGACATGCTAAAGAAGCTTCGTGCTGGACACCATTGATAACTCGAGTACTACTCGGTGCGGTAGACTGTGAAGTCGATAGCGACCAGGCGGTCAAATACAAGAACTGTAGCAGTAGAGTCAGGGGATGAGCGGCCACTGGCAGTTGGATCATTGCTAGGTTTTTGTTTTTTGCCATGCTTTTGTTCTTGGTCGTAATTTTGCTCTGGGCGGTAGTCTTGCTCTGAGCCGTAACCTTGCTCTAGGTCGTATTCTTCTTCTCTGCCATAATCCTCTTCGTTTAGGTAAGAAGAATATGGTTCTTCATCTCGAAAGGACTCTGGTATAGGTGTATCAGGCCCTCTCCCCACGTCTGGCTGACTATCTTGAATTCCCAAATCCCCTGTGATCGGAGGATTTTTCGATTGCGACTGGCCAACTTGAGAAGCCGATATTGATTGCCTTGGAATCTTTGGTAGTTTCGCATTACTGTTTGAAGCTTCCGCCGGAGAAGAGATGGGATGATCTTGACTTTGGGCATGGCCACTCGTTGAAGATACATTGTGACCCGTGACGACAAGCTTGAATGAAGGTTTCCTTTCTGAAGTCTGCGAGTTTATGGGTGAAAAATTGGCGTTATCTGACGCAGGATCGCCCTTGTTGATTGTTTTACCCAAAGCCATGTTGGGTGCCTCTTCAGTGTTGTCGCGAGGCAATGACGATGATTTGCCGTGGCTGCCAGATCCTTTGATGTCCTTTAGACTGTTTTCTGACTGCTAAGAGATACGTTAGTACTCAGCGAAGCAGAATTGTGATTGCTCAATGCTCTGGGCGTACAGTTGGGTCAATGCCTCGGCTCCTGGCTAGATTAGACTCTCCCACGATATCCGCTGTTTGGAGAGGGATGTTCTCAGGGCAGCTCTTCGAGAACGAGGGAAGACATGGACAGAATCTGCTTGTCTTGGAGGAGGTTCGGTTTGGGTCAGAAGAACTTGCCATGGTTTTGCGGTGGTCCTTGGATTGAGACTGTCCTAGCGATGTGGCCTTCAGAAATTGCGCTTAATCTCTGTATGTTCTGAAGAGTGCTTTATGATGATTAAAGAACGTAGCCTTGCTGTTAGTGACTGATTGTGTCGAAGATATCGTCTTGTGATAGATGTAAGGACGAAGACTGGGTAGGGGCTCTAAATCGATCAATACCTTAGTGAGGCTTCGGTATGGGCCAGGTGTACCTACCTTAGAAGGCATCTCATAATAACCAAGACAAGTTGATCCTCTGGAAGGTGCTACTATCACCTTGTAGAGAGCTTTTCGAAGTTTGTCAAGAAAATAAGGCCGCGCAAGCCGTTCACATCACGAAAAAGTCATTGCTATTATCGAGCAGCCAAGGGTAGGCATCTCTGACCTTCCATGAGCCAGGGCGCCATATCCAATAACAACAGACGCATGCATGGAGCGAAAAGCCCCCAAGACTTGGGTATGTATCAAAGATTTATCCAAAATATCAAGTTCATATATTCCCTTACCACCGCTGATCACCTTGTTATGGTGCTGCAGAGAGACAGACTGAGACAGCTGGGCACTGCTGAAATGATTACACCGAATGTGTATTCTCTAGCATAATAACGATAACATTACTTAAACTCATGACTGTGTTAAGGCCAAAAATCGTTCCAGCACCGAGTGTCATAATCCCCGTGCTCTTGCTGATGGTGAAGTCTATTCTGGCGAAAGATTTGCCGTTGTAGTGGCTACGCTCGAAATTCCCAGCTGGTAGATCACTTCATCGAAGGATCAAATCGAATCTTGACCGACCCGATAGGACTGTATCACGATCTTATTCAAGCCATGCCGCAGGCGGCGGAATCCCAAAACCGAACTCGAATGTTCCTGAGGACACGATGATGACCAACTAATCATCTCCACTTTCTGGTAGTGTAAGAGCATCGCCACGCCTCGTCTGCCGTTCCATGTTTCCAATGTTTCAAGCTCTGTTATCTTCAGCGCGGGGTCAGGGCGTCATTGAGCACGTTGCCAATATCTCGGGGACTCGTGTCGTCATTGATGGGTTTTTAAGTCAACGCCGCAGATTTGTTACTTATAAAAATTCCTTCCCTTCATTTATCGATCCATCTCTCAATCCCTAAGTGGCTCGATACTGATCTCGTAGTCCAGCCTCTTTCCATGGTTCTTCACATCTCGTGTGTCGCTCTCAATACAACGGAGAAACTGCTGACGAATGTTCCCAAAGACAGCTTCGTTGTGCAGATACACTTGCCGGAGACAGAACTTGGGCCCGTATTGGCGTATGCACAGCCCTACTATCATTTCCTTGTCGTTCATGGGCAGAACGTCCATAAACTGCCTGAGGGTCATTGTGAAGAATTCGACCGCCGAAATGCTGAAAGGGTCGCCGTGACTACCATCGTGAAAGGAAAAGGAGAATTGTAGAGGGGTAGAAGTATTTGTAGTATGCCCACGGAGATGCGAGCTCAGTAACCGCCGTGCCGCAGCTGTATCATAAGAGTTGCTGCTGAGCTCTTCGATATCTGGCCCAGACGTGGCAGTAGTATCCTTCTGAGAGAGTGGCGTAGATCCAAGCTTTACAGGCGGCTGGTCTGTAGCTGTCGTTTCTGTTTCTGTTTCATTTTCAGAAATGCGAGAACTGCTATTCTCTCCAGTAGGTGGAACTGATCGTATCGCAGTTTTGAACCCACAGACGATCTCATCCGTGGTATTCCTCTCTGCTTCTAATGATTGTTCCTGGGTTTCATTCGTTCCTGATCCTTCACCCATGGAAGCAACAGGCGCAGGAACAGATTTTCGACTTGACCTCCGAAGCTCTTGTCTGGGAGAAACTGCTCGGGCGACTGATTCAAGCCGAACATTAGGACCTTGAGAGACCGGATCGGCCGTGGGTGCACGAGAACCGTTGAGACGCGGGCTTTTTGTACGCAACGGCGACGTCTCTGATTCTAATAGATGCCTTTTCGTTGCCAGCACAGGCTTTTCAGTGTCAGTAGAGTGGTGCCAGCATTGATCAAGGGAATGCTTACGCTTGTTCTTGAGGGTTGGCTAGATCCACGAGATGCCTCCCGGTTAACATTCTCATTCACATTCTGAACCACACTACGTAGCGACGTCACAGTATTTGAGGGTATAGTCTGACTCTGTACTGTACGTCTTATCTCCTCAAGCGAAGGTAAGTCCGGAGAATCAGCAGGCTCTCTAAAACCATCATGTCAGTAAATATAGCTACCACAATTATTGATGTCAATAGCTCACCTCTTGAGGTAAGATTCACCAGACATCGGTGATGACGGGGGATCGAATATTTGGTATTCGTAATCAGACTCATCGCTGGACAGATCAAGGGCAATAGGCTCGTCAGGCGCATCACCTCGCTCGAAGAGATTGGTACGCCTCTTTTCTTTGCGAACCTTTATGTTGTGTGATCTTCTGTTGTATAGCTGTCGAAAAAACAGCATGGTCAATGTTTTGATGATCCTATACGGAATAGGCAGAAGCTGACTGTCAGTTACTCATTCACCTAAAGACGCGTGAGAAACAATAAGAAGAGACTAGGTAGACTGACTGTCGGGAATCCTGTGGATAACGGTAGTTCTTGGTGTTTGCAGGAGAAACCTCGTCGGGCCAGAAATGAGGGCCATGGTTCTGTCTGACAAGAAAGTCTCTGGCCAACCTGCGAATCTTTTGCTTGCATGGCTCGGAGGACCACTCCAGTATATCTTTGTCGTCGATGATCTTTTCGTCTAGGAAGCGGTTCATGTGAAATTTACGAGCAGTGTTGAACTCATTGAGGAGCTTCTTATCAGCATCATCGCCAAACCCAAGTTCGCCGAGCAGTTTCTTGATCGGAGGCACGTCCTTGGTAGTCCTCGTGCGAGAGGAAAATAGGAATGGCCCGGACCGACGCGCGGTACCTTTCTTCTTTGAGGTCATGATCAGAACGTTGTACGTAGAGGACAATTCAGGGATTTGCAGAACAGGATTAATGAAAGAATGGGACGGCAAAACGGGGGGTTAGGTTATTTAGTTAGATTGGTGGATGCTTCTGCGAACCCCAGATTCCGATACCCCTGTTAGAGCCTCAGAGAAAAGGAGCATGGGTCTTCAGGGAATGTTACAGTGGAGGCATGGTAACTTTCCACACATTACGGCCACCGACAGTTAGATCAGCGGGCCATTGCTGGAAAGTATTGCAAGGCCGGTGCCAGGACTTGCATATTTATAACAGCTGCAGCAAAATATTACACTAGCCATGCACGCTATGATGCTGGTTACTGGTTGCTGGGAGCTGGTCACGGTTACTGGTTGCTGGCTGATGTCTCCCGTCGCTTATTACGCCTGATGGTGTGTGTCGCGCGCGATCAGGCGACGGGCGGATGTAATAAGAGTTCCCGATTTCTTATCAGGAATCGATAACGCATTCAGCCAGACTTTTTAGTATAACTGTAATACAACAATTCATTGTGACATATCGTGCATAAATATTGCATTGTGTAATATTATGACCCATTGTTGAAAGTTGCCCTGCATGCCATCACTGTCTGTCCTTATCTTCCATGTTCTGCAGCCACAATTTTCTGTTGTTTTCTCTTCCCTCCCACAACAAAAAAGCAAACCCGACCTAAGCTATTTCCCTGTTTTTATTTCTCAGGAGGCCCTTCTACCCTTGCGAGACCACGGCACCTTGCATTGCGTAACCACCCGTTCCACTGTTCGCCACCATTTCCACAGTATCAAACACTTTACCGACATTTGAGCTGCTATAACACGCCAAAATCAGACTGCATTGTTTGATCTTGATTCAACCAGTGACTGTCCCCCATAGCCTGGCAAACGCGTGCTCCGGTACCTCATACATACATGTAATCACGTTCCTGGTTTTCTATCGACTGCTCTTAGTTACTATACAGATATGTCATTACAAAAGTCTGGTGCTTAATAAGAAAAATAAAAGATAAAAACCACAGAACAGAACCCTGTTGACACGTTCATACCCGTCAAACCATTAAAAGTCGTTAATCCGCCAATTTCCCAAGAATAGAATAGAATAAAAACACAAAGAAAGAAAGAAAGAAAACGAATTCGCATGCCATCTATCATACTAACTTGAGACTGTATAGTCCATTTCAGATAGAAATTGGCTTGTCCGAAAAGTAAACCCTAAACTGTTGTCTCTGCGCACCAGAATGGCGCTGCATAATAACTCCCAGGCACTCATCTTTGAAGGACTCAAATCCATCTTCGTCGCCGGGCTCGAACTTTTCACACAAGTTGGACATTCGGCCTCTGAGAGACATGTGAAGGGTTCGGCCGTGCCTCAACCCCAACTCCTCAGCCACATCCGCAAGAGACATGTTGAATAAGAAAGATGACGGCTTCCAAGACATGAAGTCAACGCCATTGGCTATGTCGGATCTGATGACGATGACTATTTCACGTCCATGCGGCACTTGTCGCTGTGTATCTTCAGGGTCCAGATTCCCAGAGCGGCTCCTTTGCTGGCTCACAGCACTGGCCTCTGGTCTGACCGTAGACTCTGCGTCCCGCTCCCGACTTGGCCCAGCTTGAACCGTTGGGTTTTTCCTGACCGGCGCCTCAGGTAGCTTTCCTTGAGCTTTAGCGGAGAGGTCAGTGGTAGACGTGCCGCAGGCATCTAGTTCTTGGTCTACACCCGCTGCTATAGCTGCCTCTGTAGTCTGCCTTTCAGCCTGGCGAGCTAGCTCTGCTCTGATAGCTCCGGTTGGAGATTGGCCTTGTGTTTCCCCGGCTGAAATTCTTGAGGTGGAATCATTAGTGGCGGTCGAGGGTTGTTTGCTTTGGCTCGCATTACTTCTGCGCTGAGGTCCAGCTACAACTGGGGGAGGTGACGGAGTTGGGGTTGGGGTCGGGTTCTCGGCAGCTTGAATCTGTTCTTCCGTAGCAGCTCCTGGTCGAAGGACTGGCTTGCTCTGTCTTTTAGAGCTTCGGACTTTGGGACGTAAGCTCTGTGACTTTCTGCCACCTCGAGTACTCTTTGGAGGTTGGCGTGTCGAGTTCGCAGACGTGCTTGCATCTTGTCTGGGGACTTTGGCCTGGCGGCTGAGATCATCGGAGTCTGGCTCGACCGGGCGCTTGCCATTACTCTGTGCCTATGAAAAGATTTAGTCTCGATAAGATGAACGATGAACTTGATAGAATACACTAACAGTTTCAGTGACCTCTGGAGGGCTTGGAGGCACTTCGTACAGGTCTGTCCCGGGAACGCTCTCTGCTTCTTCGGGAATAGGCATCATAGTTCCCTCTGTGTCAGGGACTAGCTGTGAAGATGAAAAGGGCTCCGAGCTTGAGCTCTCATCAGGCGTATCCTGTCGCTGTGCACCAATAATAAAATTGAAAGCAATTCCAAGGCCTGCACAGTGATCGTCTCTTGGGACCATGTCAGACAGCCGTACTTCTGAGGCGGTAGAAATGTTCTTACGTGGACAGCCCTGATGTGTTGGTTCTGGACTGCATGCTCTCAACATCTATAGGGTTGTCGATATTCTGGCCTTTGAGAATATGCGAGTTGTTATCGAGGACTTGGCGTTTGTCGTCAGTCGGCGCATCCAGGAGCTCTAATGGTAAAGTGTCTCTATCGCTAGGCTGTGATGGTAGCTTCGTAGTGGCAGAGTTTGAGGGCTTGTTTCGCTTGTACTCTCGGGCTGCACGCCAAAAGACTTTGATCATGAGACGGCGTATCCTGTTTGAGTCAGTGATAGCTCATCTCTGGGGAATACTGTATGCTTAGTCCATTTGGGTCTGAGCACTTACCGAGAAGAGTCTTTGGAATACTCAAGGCACCTGGTGTTAACGGAGTCGTGCCTCGCAGGCCAGAATTCAGGCCCCTTTCTCTTGGTATCGAGAAAGTCTTTGGTGACCTCTTGGAGTCCTCTCTGGTGAAGAGGCAACCTCCACTTGGTGAGTTTGTATGCAGGTATTTTGGTGCTAGGGGATACAAAAGACTCGATCTGGGCTCTGATGGCCCTTTTAAAGGCGATGTCCTGTTCTTGGCCTGGGTTGCCGTAGCCAAGGGCCTTGCGAAGTTCTGTGAGATGGGGGATAGTGGAAGTTTTTGTAGTTTTGAAGAGTCTGTCAAGGACTTTATGGGGGCTTCCCTGACCTTCGACTTGTTCCATAGTGTTGGAGACAGAAATATATATATTTGAGGCAAACTTGTGCACCCTCTTTATGTGTAGGGAGGTCGCTTTTCAGGTCGGGGACGAATCTTGCCTGATAGACTGATTGAGAGATTGCCTTATTAGGGATAGGATCACATTTGAGCACTCAGTAAACATCCTACCCGTTCATCTGAGGTAAGTACTAAGCTTTTGGACCGAGTTGGAACAAGGTAATATCTGCAGTGAACTTGCGCTTGAACTCTGGGGCAAGCATCGGTAGACCGCGAAAGGATAGGGGTGATCCGCGAACCATCTGGGGGGACGTGACGAGGCAGATTCGCGATAGAAACTTACGTTCAGTTTCAACAACACTTCTAATGCTTCCCCCTAGCTCACAAGTATATAACTTGTACCAGTTGTGTGGCTCAATTTCTCAGAGTGTCAGTCGCCCAATTGACCCATTCTCAATGTCATTGTATTGAAAGATCAACTTCTTAACGACCACCTCAAATTACTCACAATGTTCCGACTGTTTTTGCCATATAACTACGATCAATTTTATCTCTTGCACAGTGAGCAGAAAATTCGAAGCTACATTTTGTAACTTGTTCTGTCCAACCAGGCTGTCGCCTTGTTCACAGAACCAACAGCCAACATGCATATTCACAAACCGTAGCAGCAGGGGTTTTAATCAGAAAAATGTAGAAACTCCACTCCACCATAATAGGCTGAGTTTGCCTTTTTTTAAAATAGCCTTTGCTTTTTTCTCTTCCTAAAGAGATATTATTAGTCTCGTTACCACACATGAGGCCTCTATATAGGCCAGACAAGGGGTTTTGCTATGAGTTTCAGTCTGCTAATTTACTTAAGATAGAAATTTCAATGAGAAGACTCTAGAAGCCTACTAGGGTTAATTTCTACCTATGGAAATGTTTCAGCTCGTCCCAAACGAGGTGACAATGGTACCAACCTTGCCTCCTTGACTCCTTGACAGCTGGGCAGGTTGTCACTCTTGCGGGCACCATGATCAGCTCACCGTCTTTTGTCTCATAAAATCTGCTTGACAGGTTTAGTTTGCTTTTTCCCAGTTGACGTGTCAGGGTGATGACAAAGGGGTGATCTGTTTTAGGTGTTGACATCAACACTGCAAGATGGTTCAGCACGCTTTATCCTGGCAGTCACAGATCGCGACTGTCCACTCACACTTTGTCGTATGCCTTGGGTGGTAACGGTCACAGACCATCTTAACTTATGAAAACTCTTCATATCAGATCATCGTGAAACATCACATCGTCCTGTCTCCTCCTCTGTCGTTATCCATTGCAACGAGGTAGCGTGAATCTCAGATTCTCTAGCTCATAAGGCTATCTATCTGATCCTAGACAGCTAAGCTAAGGAGATTCGGTTGTTTCCTAGCGAACTCCGCAATAGTAGTTTAAACATGAGGTACGGAGTAGGGTCTGGCGGGTTGCACTGCCATTGTGAGCATTGAGAACCAACTGTAAGGCAACTGGGTCTCAAAAGGGGAGTCGCCGACCTCTGGGGTCGAGACTCTGTCGTGCATTATCTGGTCCTCGTTCCTAAAGACGACGGGAGATACCTCACATTGTTACGCTCCGTCCAAGCTCTTGGATAGTAGGTCTCCCAGCAACCCTCCGTAGCCACAAGATGATGCTATTCGGACTTGTATTTCCTGCCTCCTTTACTCTGCACACGAAAATGCAGGTCTCATCTGGCCCGTGCCAAACCATTCATCTCTTTTGTCCTGGTCTTGAAACAAGAGGTGGTTGCTTCCCAGGTTCTTGGATCAGAGCCCGCAGCTCTGGGGCGCGAACCACTAAGATGGTACCTTCAGCTGAACGGTACATCAACTTATTCCCTGTTCAGAAGCGTCTGTATCATCAGCCGTCCGTGAATGATATATCACAGTAAGAATAGCACGGATGGTCGCTTGTTAGTCAGTGGCTTGCATCATGTACATAATAGTTATGAAAGGACATAGTAAGATGCATATCATGCATTAGTATAGATCTCTTCTTTTACTAACACAGGGAAACGTGACAAAAAAATCCCCAACAGTTGCATGTGGAATCAACACACTCCTTCTTTTAAAGAACTCAAATGATTAGTATTGAACTACCTCATATAAATCATCACACTAATTGTTAGTTCTAGTTATAAGATGGACTCGCTAACATCAAGCTCTCGAGGCTTTGACTTGCCATTTTCTTGTATTATCTCTAGGGTAGGCAGTCGATCAATCGAGAAGCACCAGAGCACCTAGGAAGACATCCATTACATTGCATATGCTCCAATGCTTATAATTAATCACCATGAACCAATACAACCGAGCCCTGGTCATTTAAAGACTCAGTTATCATTTGTAGTAGCCAGTCAGAGCTCTCTTCACCTTCAGCTCACAGTCCTTAGTCATACTGCACATCCATTCAGCCGCAGTATATGTACCGACTCCTTACTCCCGACTGGAGAAGTTCTCATTTATTACACAGACAGTCACAGTGTATATACAACATGTCTATAAAATGCCCTGTAGTGGAAGCACCCGAAGCTCGTTCCACGCCCCGAACGAAGGATGACAATGGCAGCTGGTTATCAGCCGATGGACCATATCTCAATTACATCAAGCAGAGCTGTTCTCGACAGCCCAATCTCGAGTTGCCCGATGGACGCAACCGTGCTATTATGCTGTGCGACAGACAGCATGTTCGAGCGGCAGTTCTCGAGTTGGATAGTCAAGGCAAAATGCTGTCGCCTACGGAACTCCCTCATGTTGCACAACTGAGGAATCATTTCTCTCAACTGCCAAAGTTGCGTCAAGATGGCCAAAGTCATCGGATGATCTATCTTGTCGAAGGCTTGAACACAGAAGTTATAGCACTTTTAGGTGACGAACTCCAGGTCGATCCTATGTTCTTTGTCACTCATGAGAGAACGTCGACATATCTGCGATGGCCCTATGAGCCCAATTTAGCACCGTGCTTACCTTCACTCATTGACGGGAATCGATCATTTACTGCAAGCTACTACGATATTCGAGCTCTTCGTGAAGAGTTCGGGTCATTCAGCGTAGGATGTGCAGAATCTGGGAGAGACGCCCTGAGGACTAAGCTCGGCAAGGATTGGGAGCCTACAGTTATTCTTCACAGAAAAAGTTCATTCTGGAAAACGACATTTTCTAATGAAAACGACTGGAGTAGTAAGTTGATGTTTATTATCATAGTCTGAGAATAGTAAAATTGACATTCTGTAGCTTTAATCCTCTGCGATCCACCCTTTCGAAAAGCTCATATATGGCAAAAACCACAGCCAAAATCTAAGACGTGGTCGCTCAAGACTATAGAATTTTCTGCACCTCCGTTCCAAGGAGGATATGCAGATTTTATCCCCAGTCCTTGGATTGTACGGAGCAGAACATCAGGGCCTTCACGGGAATGTCTATATGACGACTTGCTTCACTACTACACCGAATGCTACAATGACATATCTGCCCAGCAAGCAACTCAGCTGGACATGACTGTTTTCATGAGGAAGACCATGGCGTCTCACTACATGCTTTTGATCGAATACCACGATGCGCTTCTATCGACAATGGCGTTTCCTCTACAGCGAAAAGACAATTTTGCATCTGTTCAGACAACATCCCTCGAAGCATCGTGGAGCAATATCCAACTTTTATGCAGTCGACTCAGCAGATATATCAAGGATGTTTCGCAAATAATGCTACAGTTGCACATCAAATTTGACGACCCCGTAGTTCCAACCGATTACGCACAGTGGACAGAATCCGAGTCGGATTTTCAGTACATTTATATGAGATTGCAATCTCTCAGACAAAGGGCAGAGTTTCTAAGCGAGTCGCTCACAGGAGTGACGGGTATCAATGGAGCTGCAAGGTCTATTCGTGAAGCAAAAACCATCAAGACGTTTACTATTGTCGCGCTCATTTTCATTCCTTTGTCATTCTCTACGAGTCTGTTTAGTATGTCTGAGCGGTATTTACCTGGCGAGAAGAACTTTGGTGTATTTTTTAGTGTGTCGTTACCACTCTTGGTCTTCATTTTTGCTGTTATACTATTATTTGATCTGGGATACGATGAGAATAGTAGTTGGACGTTCAAGACATTCACAACCAGAACATGGAGGTCATTATTCTAAGCATGTTGCGAACAAACAAAAACTGTCAGATCTCATCATCGGCATACATATCTTCACCGTCTTCTCTTCCCTCTCCATACAAAACCTCACAAACACCCGCCAGCGGAATATCCATCACCGCATCCGTTCCCTCACTCCAAATCTCTCTCCATCTCAATCTCCCATCCCCATGCACCTTTCTCTCCCTATTGCGACTCCCCCTTAATCTTCCCTTTGCATCAATCTCCGCCAGCTTTCCCGCCCCATCAACGACAGTCTCAACACTCGATAGTGGCACTGTCAACATCTCTGTGTTGAATGCAGCGAGAGCTACGTAGATGTAAACCACTGTCATGACGATAAAAGCCGGTATGGCGAGCGCCCACCATCGGTTGGGATAGTAGTAGATTCCCAGGGCGTGCAGAAACGGTGAAGGGAGATAGCCCCAGAGGAGGTAAATGAGGAATGTCAGACTACTGAAGAGATACAGCACAAATCCGTAGTATTCGTACGTCGGCACCTTTGGCGCGGCTCTAGGTACAGGCGCGATTGCATCGTCATCAGATGCGTCTGGTGTTGTTGGCCGTGAAGGGCGTAGAAGAGATGTGAGTGAGGGTGAAGGGGGCAAAGGCGTTGGAGGTCGCCCATAAAACGGAGGCGCAAACAGATTCTGCGACAATTGCCGTGGGGGAGAATCTTCGTCTTCCCCGGAAGAACTGGCCGATTGAGCGTCTGAGAGGATATCGTCCTCGTCATCTGAGCTGAGTGACATGCCGATTGCGAATTGTCTGTTTCTGTATGAAGAGTGTGGTTTGAAGTGTCAAAAGTTGAGTTTCAGGGCAATGTGACAACGTCACTCAGTT